TGTATGTGTGTGTGTGTGTGTGCGTATATGTGTGCGTATATGTGTGTGTGTGTGTGTGTGTATATGTGTGTGCGTGCGTATATGTGTGTTGTGTGTGTGTGTGTGCGTTCATACATGGCGGTAAGGTTCGGAGTGAGTATGGGGGCATCAGAGGCAGGTGAGGCATTGTCACGCACACACATATGAACATAAAACGCATAAATGTACATGCAGACTTTGTCGCCCTTGCATTCTCACCCTGTTCGTATCGTCTCGGGATATCCGCAGTACGTACTCGTACCCCGCCCCCCCCCCAGAGAAAGGGTCGGGGTCGGGTTCACGGTGCACGTTACCAGCACCAGCACAAGGGGCAGAGGTGGAACTAGAGGCCGCGGGGGCGGAGGCCGGGTGGGTGGGAGCGGGGGTCAGTGTGGCGTAAAGTGCGTCTGTGTGCGAGGGGGGCGACGACAGCAACTCCTGCAGCATCATCAGCCTGTGGGTGCATAGGTGTGTGTGTGTGTGTGTGTGTGTGTGTGTGTGTGTGTGTGTGTTTGTGTGTGTGTGTGTGTGTGTGTGTGATTATTTTGTTGGTGAGACGATGATGATAAGGTAGGGACAGTGAAATGGCGTATCATAGGTGATAAAAAAGGCAAACTTCGAATATTTCTTCCGCTGGAGCTACAACCTATGACCTATGACCTATGACCTATGCTATATGGCGAAGTATGCCACGTACCTTCCGGGCGAGGCCGTGGCACTGTCGCTGCACAGCACCACCAGCAAAGTACGTATAGTGGCGCCCAGCGCGGGCAGCAGCGCTCGGCGGGCAAGCAGCAGCGACCGCAGGCTGCAGCACACTTGGTCCAGCAGTCGGTCCTCAAGAGGAGCTCCAACCCCAGTCGTACTCGCCCCTGCTCTACTCGCCACACTGATCCCACCTATACCGCCACGTGCGAAGGCGAATTCGGCGAATTTCGTGACGTGGTGTAATATGACAATAATATCCACCAGCCGCCCGGTGTTCACTGCCCCCCCCGCACTGTCAGTGCAGTCCCCGGGTAGCAAAGCATACGCCTCTGCGATAAGGCTATCAAGCAGTACTGCAGGCGCTACGCCCACCCTCGCCACCCCCTCCCCTGCCCTCTCCTCCCCTCCCACCCCCTCGTGCAGTAAGAGCAACAGCAGTAGAGCAAGAGTGCCATCTGTGCCACCCCACACCGGCCCCTGCCCCTGCTGCTGGACAAGCAGCGACACGAGCAGAGCAGCGGGGGGCATACGGGGCTGAGGCCCAGTCCCAGCAGCCCCCGTCCCTGTCCCTATCCCTATCCCTGTCCCTGTCCTCACCGATGTCTCTGTGTCTGTCTCAGGCCCACTACTCCTGCCGTTGCCGGAGCTGAGGGGCCCGATCAGCACTGCACAGCACTCACCGATCAGCACTGCACAGCGCATAGCGGGGTGGCTGGGGGAGCAGAGCAGGGCTAGGGCAAGGGCGAAGCGACCCAGGTACAGCTCAGCTCCCGCCGCCCCCGCTGCCCCCGCTGCCCCCGCTGCTTCTGGTTCTGTCATGGCACTGCAGCTCAATACTGCAGCCTATGTGAACGGGGGGTTGGGGAGAGAGAAAGGGTGGGGAGGGGAACAAACGTTAGTCAATCATTGTGAGGCGTTGAAGAGAAAGTGTGTGTGTGTGTCAAGAGGAATCGTTGTCTATGTGTTTGTTGAATACATACGTACCATCAGCATGTCGCCCCCACGCATGCTCGCGTCCGTGCCCCCCGCACCCCCCGC